TATGAAAGAACTAGAAAAGATTCTAAAATGCAAATATATACAACTCTGAACAAAAGTTAGAATCATACAAGCAATTGTATTCCCTATTGCCATGTATGGATGTGAGAGCTGGATAGTTAAGAAAGATGATAGTAAGAAAATCAATGCATTTGAGATGTGGTGCTGGAGAAGAGTGCTGAGGATCCCATGGACAGCCAAAAGGACAAACAAGTGGGTCCTAGAGCACATCAAGCCGGAGACCTCCCTGGAAGTCAAGATGACCAAAATGAGGCTGTCGTACTTTTGACACATCATGAGAAGGAAGGACTGATTGGAAATGACAATAATGCTGGGAAAGGTGGAGAAAGTAGGAAGAGAGGAAGGCCACATGCCAGATGGATGGACTCTATTAAGGAGGTCATGGGTATTAAGGGGTTGCAGGAATTAAACAGAGCAGTGGAAGACAGAGGGTCTTGGAAAGGTCACCATGTGTCAAGATCAACTTGAGGGCAGTTAACAACAACAAACAGCCCTATGAGGGAGATTAGGAAAGTGACTGCTACAAGATCACCAAGTGAGCTATGCATCTCCACAGGGATGGGAATCCCTACAACAACTTTGAGGCTTGATTCAAGAAAAGTTGAGGAAATGGAGCCAAATGTAAATAAACATTATGTAAATATTTGTAAAATATTCAATAAAAATATTATTTAAATGTTAGGCAGTATGCTGCCATGCTTGCTGAGATATTCTGAATATTTTACGACAAATAAGTTTTAAAAATCCCAAGGTATTATGTGAGCCTAATTTGTAGCACTGCTCTAAAGTGAGAGGACAGGATATGCAGAGGTGACTGCTTCTCCTTTTTATATCTTGCTCATTTGGAAAAAATTCAGAGAAGCAAGCAGTAAGACAAAGGAGGCTTGAGCAATGGGCCACTACTAGGAATATGGACCATGGTCAGCAGAGTTGAACCTATGAACCCATGTTCAGCTCTGCTGTCCATAAGCATCTGCTTTTCTTTTTCCAAATACTGCCCTTACATTCAACACAACGCTTCTCTATTCAGTGATTGTGAGTGACTGTTGGATAGCATACCTCACATAACTGAATATTTTCAATTTGGATAGTTGTGTCTTCACTGGAAGCATATCAATCCTGTTACCTCTAGAGACATAAGGCCCAAAGTAGCCCAACCCTACAGAAGCAAATATTTGCATGCAAACATGCACCTCAGGTGGAAGGGAGAAGGAGGAGATAAAAACACAAAGATTTGCTTCTGGTTGCAATTTTAGGAATCCAAGTTGAATCATCTCTTTCACACAGACAGTCAGCTACATTGCTAGGCATAATTACCCTTTGGGAAGGTGGGGGGGGGGAAGTCTTCAATTGTTAATCCCTTTGGCAGCTGTAATTGCTTTATTGAATCTAAATTAATCCAATGGATGTGGGCTTTCTAGAAATCATAAAAGTGCATTTCTAAGAACTACACAAAAGTCAGGCTCACAGAAATAATGATAAGAAAACTTATTTTTGTTGAAAACCTAATTTTGATTACACTCCACCAGCACAATCCTCCTTTCAGAAGACATTCTGTGTAAATGTGGAATGTTTTCATTTGTGTAACATAAAGCCTGCAATGTCTACTTTCATGAGACTCCAGCAATTGATTATTCAGGATCTGGTAACCTGCAGATTAGACTACTATTATGTGTTGTACATGGGTCTGCAGTTGAAGACTGTTTGGAAACTTGAGCCAGCTCAAAATATAGCTGCAAAATTTTGAATGGGACCAATTGATGGGATCATATCTAGCTCTACTTATATCTCTTTGCTGGCTGCCAGCCATTTTCCAAAGCCAATTGGAAGTAACCAACATGGCTGTGGAAACACAAAACCTGAAGGAAGCGTTGTCTCTCTTTTCCTCTCCTCTCCTTCCCTCCCTCAAAGGTCTTCCTTCAGGTGGGACAGTAGACCTAAGGAGAGAACTTACTAAAGTTTTGCTGATCTCTTTATGAATTTCTTTTTTTCTGAGAAGGCTTGGCTACATTGGTGTCTTGTTAGAAGCACAAGCACACACACACACACACCCATATTGTTGCATGCCTTCAAGTCATTTCCTACTTATGGTGACTTTAAAGTGACAATATCATGGGATTTTCTGAGGCTGAGAATGTGTGACTCACCCAAGATCACCTAGTGGGTTTCCATGGCCAAGTGTGGAATCAAACTCTGGTCTCCAGAGTTATAGTTCAACACTCAAACCACTACACCACACTGGCACTCTCTCATATGTGTGTGTGTTCCTAAACTATTGTTAGTTGTTGTCACTGATGGGTATTTTAATGAATAGGATCTAATTGTTTTTACTTCCCATTTTTAGTCTATTTGTGCATTAATGGAGACTATCAGATTAGGTTATAAACCGGCTTACCTGAGCCGGCTTAAAATTAGAAGCAAGCGGCATCCTGATAGTATCAGATACATTTAGCTGCTGAAATCGCCACCCGGCTGCAGCTACAACCCACATTATTCACAGTCAACTTGACTGCAATGGTTAAGTGTGATGGAACTTGTAGTCTAATACTTCATCTAGATGGTGCCAAGACTGGAGAAGGTGATTTACATCATCAGTTTGGAATACCTTTGGAATACCTTTGCTTTCTAATATAATATAAAGGATATGACCACATTAGATACACACTACAAAATCAGGGTCCCTTCTGTGCTACAAAATTGTGACCCTATAATTTCACTTTGCCTGTCATGGCATCATCCTATGAAATCATACCCTTCAATATTTCACTGATGAAACCTGGGAAGCATGTGGCCAAGCAACATCAGAGTGTGGTCAAGATGGCAAATAGTATTAAAGAGGAAGTACACACAAGCTAGGACAGGCTGCAACACTTTGCTTTTGGCTGAATCTACAGGGAAAGAGGCAAGATTCTACCCCTCCTGTCCTTTTACTTCAAGTTACTGTAATGCAAGAAATGTGAGTGCTAAAAGTAAATTTCATAACGGGGGGGGGGTATTTGGTTGTAATGCACTCCCTGCCCCAATAGTTCCATTGCAATAGCTCCACCACAAAGTTAGCTTCCTGTGTGAATCAGAGCAGCCATGTGAATGCTACCAACCAGACCTCCCATATGTGGGATGTGATGCAGCTGGCTCAGGCAGTAGATTTTGAGTGTCAGCAAAGTGTTAGTTATTTATCCTAACTATGCTGTAACTATCAGGGAAGAGGGTTTGCAGGATTTTCCTGTTGCCTATGCCCAAGCAACCTGGCTTGCTTTGGGTACTGCAGCTCTCAGCTTGGGTGAGTAGTGGGTTTCTTTTGCTGTTCTGCCTTAGGCAACAAAATATCTTGGGCTAGCCCTTCTATGTACTCATAGGGGCACAACTGTTGCTCTTCAACAAAGAGAAAGGGGGGGTTCTAATCCACAAATCCCAGAACCCCAGCCAAAATGCCCATGCCCATGCCAGTTGGTAGGGAGGGGGAGTGGTTCAGGGAGTTGTAATTCAAAAAATCACTTGTCCAAGCAGTGGTGTTTTGACACTGGTCTCAGCTTGATTTATGAAACAAGGTTATAAGCTAGGCATAGACTCCACTGAGAATGGACCCAATGCAAGACAGAAGCAATTAAATCTGTCTTACCTTGGAGTCATTGGATGGATTTGATCCAATGACAAATGCAGTTCATCAAAATATTACATCTGTACCGGTGAGTAGTGTAGTGGTTTGACGGTTGGACTACAACTCTTGAGCCCAGGGTTCAATTCCCAGCTCGCCCGTGAAACCCACTGGGTGACTTTGGGCAAGTCATACTCTCTCAGCCTCAGAGGATGGCAATGGCAACCCCCCTTGTTTTGAAGGCACAAAACAACAACAACAACAACCTGTTGGTGTGAGCAAAGTAAGTTTGAAATTAGTGTCTTGAAACATTCTTCATCCACTTACAGTATGTTTCCAAAGCCTTTACTATTGGAATCCACCCCTTCACTTCATTCTGAAATAACAACAATGCATATGGTTTCTGGTAGATATGGGAGGGGGGGAGAGTGGAACACTGAGACGAGAAACTATTATCTTGTCCCCAACATGTCCTCATCATCTTGCTGGACTGTATACCAAACTAGGAGAGATAATCAGGTCTAGCACTAATTCTCTTGACAGTTTTCATGTTGCCTCTGGGTCTGTCACGTCATTAAGAAGGGTCTGCTGGCTTTGCCATCCATGTCCTCCCACATGCCATTTATTTCCCTTTCAGTATCTCTCCTTATCATTTGCCTGCATACTATCCGTTTATGAATAATGTCTGCTTCAATTTGATCATAAAGAGGGACATGTAGGATGCTGTTAAGCCAGGGAGGAATTCTCAAGCTAAGGCAATTTTGCAGAGGTACATCTCAGTGGTGTTTCAGTGAATGAGGGGGTTTTCTCTTCCCTTGAGAACCTATCAGGACAGTCTTCCAATGTAAGAGTGTTACCAAATATGGCAGCAATGCATTGTGTTTGCCTTCTCTGTGAAACAAAGTAATGCTTAGCACATGCTCCAACTAGGAACTAATCAATCTTTCACTTTGGATTGCTATAGTTTTTCACTTTCCTCAGACTTAAATTTGTTTTGCCCTGGTCTTAGACTTCATTTTTGTTGTTGTGTGCTTCAAGTTGTTTCTGACTTATAGTGATCCTAAGACAAACTTTTCATAGGGTTTTCTGGGTCTCCCCAAAGGTCTCCCAGTGGTTTCCATTGATAAGCAGGGAATCAAATCCTAATCTCCAGAGTCAGAGTCTAATGCTCAAATCACTGCACCATGCTGGCTCTCCTTAAAGATCCTTTCACAAATGAAAACCCAGACACATGTGGCCAAGCAACATCAAAAAATGGTCAATATGGCAAACTTATTAATGAGGGAGGAAACATAAGTTAGGAAGCACACGTAAGCCAGGAGAGGTGGCAGTTTGGTTGTTGGCCTGAGCAGACTGGTAAGGACAAAATTCTGCCTCTTCTCTTCTTTTTCCTCTGCTAAGGAGCTTATCGCACTGCTAAAATAAACCTTCTTACATCTCCTGGCTTCAGTCATAGGACCTTATCACACGGGGCCCAATCCAGACAGAATCCAAACAAAATCCCGACCTAATACGTATTATTTTTCCGTGTGTCCACACGACGTCACACAGAACCCCGACAGAATGCGGAAAGAACCGAGATCTTTTGAATTTCGGTTTCTTGAGGAATTGCAATTTCGTGACCGGAATCATTTCGCTTTTGCCGTAGGTATGAAAACCCAATACGTATTGGGGAGCATTTCCCCGCCTGTGCTCCAAGGAGGACGTCCTCAGAGAGCCGGCTCTCCGAGGGGGACCTCCTCGGAACGCGGACCCTGCGTGGGGCCTGCGCTCCAAGGAGGATGTCCTCAGACAGCCAGCTCTCCGGGGAGGACCTCCTCGGAGCGCTGACCCTGCGCGGGGCCTGCACTCCAAGAAGGACGTCCTCAGAGAGCCAGCTCTCCGAGGGGGACCTCCTCAGAGCGCCGACCCTGAGTGGGGCCTCACTCCAAGGAGGACCTCCTCAGAGAGCCGGCTTGGGAAGGGGTGACAGCCGCGGCTGTATTGAGCATATGCAAGAACATCATTGCTTGGTTATGTACGGGATTTTCTCACTTGTGTGTGAACGGCAAATACAGTTCCCGGGAGCACTTTCCTTAAAAGCGCAATGAAGGTAATGGCGTGTGATAGCCATTTGCATATTGTGGGGTTTCTTTCGGTTTATTACTGGATTTATTCTTATTTCACTTTATTATCGCTTTGTGGCCCGCGTGTGATAAGGTCCTTAATTCAGGCAGCATCAGATACTATCACAGGAATTTTGCCATCAAATCCACCACCTGCATCCAGTCTGGATCGAGCCCGGGTCCCAGGGGAGCTCAGTATGCCTCTTTTCAAAACTGGGAGTTTTCTGACTTAAGAAAATGGCTACCAGAGCACCCCTGGGACCCAGGCTGGACACGGGCAGCAGATTCAGCAGCAAAATCCCTGTGCTAGTATCCAGATGCCACCAAAATTAAGACTGAATTCAGGAGAGAAGGTTTATTTAGCGGTGCTATAAGCTCCTAAATTGCATGCAAACTATTTTTGCACTTTGAACTCAGTTAACACCAATTGAAGTAAAGGTAAGGATAAAGGGGGGAAGGAGGAGGAGGAAAGAGAAACTGGGAAATTTTAAAAGCAGCTGGAAAATTGGGATGACAGAGGATTAATTGGGACTGTCCCTGACAAATCAGGACAATTGGAGAGAATAAGAGTTAATATTCATTTTTGTACTCCATCAACCCAAAATGCATTTTTGTAAAGAATTTTACCTAATATAAATATTTTTGCAAGGAATTTCCCCAATTGTTGTTATTGTGTGCTTCCAAATCGTTTTGGACTTATGGAAACCCTAAGGTGAACCTAGTACAGGGTTTTCTTGGCAGGTTTCTTCATGGGGTTCTTCATGGGGGTTTGCCATTGCCTTCCTCTGAGGCTGTGAGAGTGTGACTTGCCCAAGGTCACCCAGTGGGTTACCATGGCCAAGCAGGGATTCAAACCCTGGTCTCCAGAATCATAGTCCAATGCTCAAACCACTACACTATGCTGGCTCCTAATCTTCCCAATACTATACATTTAAAAAAAAAGTTAATTGCTTTACTACAGAATTTTTCTGTGCATTTTTCCAGGCATTGAGAATTTATTTTTAAGAAGCAATCCAAGACTGAGCAGTGATAGGATGATACTTTGAAACCCAATTATGGATGCCATCCACATGGCTTCTTCTTACAAGTACAATGGGCCTTTGATATCCGCAGGCTTAAAATCCATGGATTTGAGCAAGCATGGATTGAAATGAAGAAAAAAGGTTTTTTGTTTTTTTTAAAAAAAAAAAGAAATTACTTGTGATCCACTGCAGCAAGGTCAAGAAGTGATCCCAGGCCAGTACAGAAGCTGCAGCAGCAAGGCTCACCCAGGGACCAAGCTCTGGTCTTCAAAAGGCAGAAGCAGCAGCTGGTGTGTCCCAAGCAAGAAGCAGAAGAAGGTGGACCTGGCCTAGGGCTTGCCACCATTGCTTCCCCTTGGCTGATGGAAGTCAATCCCAACAT